TTTACCATCATCATCCAGAATATTCTCTTGGAATTTTTCGTTTATCAAGAAAAATAAAAATAAAATTCATGGCTATTGTTGTTGTTGTTATGATTGTTGTTGTTGTTGTTATGATTGTTGTTGTTGTTTGTTGTTGTTGATAGCATTTGATATTGGCGATAATAAACAAACAAAAATGAAAAAGTAAATGCGAGTTTTTTTTTCTCCATCATATCGATTTTGCAAAAAACAAACCCAAATTCCATATAATTCAAATTCGATTACGAGAAACACTGTAGTTTGAAATTTTTAAAAAAAATGGAAATTTCCAAATTTTAAAATTTCAGAATTCTGATTTTTTTCTTTTTTAATTAAATCATTTCAAATACAAAAAAAAATGACAAGCAAAATGAAAAAACTGAAATTAATTTCATTTTTTTCAGTTTTCAGTTATCGCTGATTTTTTTTTTTTTTTTTTTGATCTAATGATTTCATTTGACTTCTGATCCGAAGGAAAGTTAGTGCAACAAAGAAAGTAAAATCCAATAATGATCACTATGTGTATGTCAAAAAAAGAAAAAATTCAATTCCAATTCAATTTTTTTCGGTTGAAAATGACATCATCACATCATAACGGGGAATGTTTCAATGTGTGTATTACGACACTGACACATTATTCTGGAAAACAAAATGAATGAATGAATGAATGATGATTTACATGATGATTTCATAATCATGTAAATCTTATTATCGTTTGTAATTGTGAAATCATTCTTTTTTCTGCGTGTGTGTGTGTGTGTGATTTTGTCATTTGTAAGTTTCAAAGAATTTAATGAATTTTTCTAGCAAAACTGATTTGAAACCGTTTCATTTTCTTGTTTCATTTTCCTTATATTGAATCTTTGATTTGAAAAATTGTTTCTTTTTTTTCGGCAAAAATTTCGGCAAAAATTTTGGGAAACTTTCTTGGGAAACTTTTTTTTTTATTATTTTTAAAAATGATTGCAATGTTTGCAAGGAATCAACAACAACAACAAACTAAACAACAAAAAAAACAAACAAACAAGAATTCCTATAATAACTATGATTCTGTAAAATCTTTTTTTTTTTTGTTTTTGTTTTTGAATTTTGTTTCTAGTTCTGTATTCAATTTAATGTTGTTGTTTTTGGGTTGTTTTTCGGTTGATCCAAGAGAAACAAATGAAAAGAAAAAAAACTACATCTTACTTTCACTATATCAATTCAATTATGCTAATTCTGTTTCTGGATTCTTCAAGTTTGTTTTTCGCTTGTTTCATCATCATAATCATAATTTTTGATCCAGGAATTGTTCCCAGAAAAAAAACACAGAAGAAGAAAAAAAATTGATCCTTTTTTTCTTGTTTTTTTTTCAGTCTTGGTTATTATACCGGATGAATGAAAAGAGAAAAAAGAATGAAAAATTCCTTGTTACAGAATTGTCATACCAGGCAAGCAAGAGAGAGAGAGAGATTACACAATGTATACATTGAGATGGAGAAAATTTCCATGAAAGAAATATGATCCTTGTCGTCCTGGTTGTTTGTTTGTTCGGTTCGGTTTGGTTTGATCGATATCAATTCTCTGTTTTTTTTTCTTTTTTCTCATTGTAAACTTTATCCAGTTTAAAGAAAGTTTTTCCCGGAAAGTTTTTTTTTAAATTGAATTTTTCATTTTTTTCAACGAAAAAATTGAAAAATTCAATTTACATAGACAACAATGGTGACCATAACCTTGGTTTTTTTGAACAATTTTTTCTCCCCCTCCAAAAAACAACAACAGGAATATAATTGAATCACGAAATACTGTTGTGTTTTTCGTGTTTGTTTGGGAAATTCTTTTCGGTGGTATAAAAACCAATCAACCAAAATCTGTAACTGAAAGAATTTTTCTAGTAATTTTTTTTTGTTACTGCTGCTGCTTCTGAAAAAAAACTATCGTTTTTCTGTTTGTTTAAAAAATCAAAAAAAAATAATATTTATTTTCGGTAAGTTTCTGTCTCTGTGATTCTGTTTCCAGTGTGTGTGTGTGTCTGTGTCGTTTGCCTTCAAGCCACGAATTTCAGTTTGTTTACTTTACTTTAGTTTAGTTTTTTTCCCCTCAGCATAGACATTATTATTCAATTTTCAGCATCATTTTTTTTTGATTCGCCCATCACCCATTGAATGAAAACCAATTAGCCGAACCAAAACCAAACAACAACAACAACAGCGGCGTGATGTTTGATGATCCCCAAACATCATCACCAGTGTTATTTCCTGAACATTATTTATTTAGTTTTTTTTTTTGATCAGAGAAAAGAAAGTTTCAATCCATTTTCGTTGTGTGTGTGTGTGTTTTGCCCTCTAACCACCGTTTTTTTTTGATATTTTTTTTTCATTTTTTCTTATCACCCGATAAAAGCTTAAAGAAGAAATAAAAGAAAAGACAGAAGAAAAGAGAAGAAAAAAATGTCATCCGAAACAGAATCACCCGAAACAGAAAAAACCGAATTAAAAAAATCATCACCATCATCAGCACTACATTCATCAACATCATCATCGGATGAAGAACATAAAATAATACAAACATCATTTACAAAAAATTCTGATGGTCAATTACAATCAACTGAATTTGTTGAATTAGTAAAAATTAATCAACAATTTAAATTATCATTACCAAAAGATATGGGTATGGTTGTTGTTCGTTTAAGAGAAGATACACGTTTACCATCGGATGCTGATATGCCAATGCGTTTTATTTGTAAATTACCATTTAAAGGACAAATTAGTGATGATGTACAAAAAGCAATTACAGATCGTTTATCATCATCAGCAACATCATCATCATCATCATCATTAACATCAACAACGGCATTGTCAAAATCAACAACAATACCAAATGATGATAATGATCCAAACTAAAATCTCACACACACACATAACCTAACCAATAAAACTAAAGATATGTTTGTGTGATGTGTGGTTGGTTGGTTTGTTGTTGTTGTTGTTGATTTTTGCCGGGTTTTTGGTTTGAAAAAAGATAAAAGTTTGATGGTAGGGTTAAAATAGTCGACAAAAATGAAAAATTGATCAATTTATTGAATCACATTAAAATTGATGATGATGATGACAATCAAACAGAACGAAAGTGAAAATCAAATTAAGGAAAAAACTTTGACAACAACGAAAAATGAAATTCGGAAATAACATCACTCCATACACACACAAAGACAGACAGTCAGTGTAAGTTTTCTTCTTAAATTAATTTGATGAAAATGATATAATGCATCATTTAGTTTGACAGACAGACAAACACACTGATGAGACAAACAACCGGACAAACAAACACATCAATAGAGGCGACTAACTAACAAAACAAAAACTGACCAAAAAAGAATATCAAAAATCACCACCACCACCAACAACATCATTCATTGAAAATCAACCTCAAAAGCTTCGATTGATGATGATGGAAAGAAGAAAATGTCTTTTTTTTCGGGCTAAAAAAGAAAATGAATCAAAGCGTACATAATGTTTGTTTGGTTGTTAACAACCAAAACTAACTGATATTGAACAAATATGAAGAATGTTGAATGAATCAAAAAACAAAACAACAAAACCACAGCATCATTATACAGACACAAACACAAGGATCCATAGACCATTCACATACAAACAAGCAAAAAATATCTAAAAAAAAGTGACAACAACAACAACAACAACGAAAACAAATTCCAATGGATAATATTATTAATATCTTTTTACTGGGGTTTCTTTCAAGTTTTGTTTTTTCATCTTGTCTCGTCTCGTCATATAAAGAATATAACTCTGGTCCCCCCCTCTATCACAATCAATTAAACATTTACGATTTTGCTGTTGTTTCGTTGTTGAAGAGAGCTTTCTTATCATCATCATTATCGTTTGTTTGTTGTGTCATTGTCATTTGTTTGTATCATTTCTCTTCTCTTGTTTGTCGATTCTCTCTCTCTCTCTCTCTCTCTCTCTCTCTCTCTCTCTCTCTCTCATTCTTTTGGTTGTATGTCATAAACAATATCATCATCTATATCGCTACCCACCACCACTACCGAAAACAACAAAAATCTCATTAAAGCCAAAAAACCCAAAAAAAAAACAACGTCAACAATCAAACATCAAACACACACACTACACACACGCAAACATAGACTTTTGTTTTTTTTCTGGATTAAATTAAAAAAAAAAATTTTTTGAATGAAAAAAAAATTATATAATCTAGACACGCGAACAAGATGATGACATTCCTTGTGTCTGTGTGTGTGTGGGTGGCTGAAGTGAATGATGAAACGGTGCGGTAACAAATTAAAAATGATGATGAAAAAAGATGAATGATGTAAACACTGATGAAACAAATTCAAATGTTGTTGTTGTTGTTGTTGTTGATCTCATCACACGAAACAACAACAACAATATATGTGTGCGTTGAAAAATATGAATATTTTTTGTTCATATGAAAAAAAGGGTTATTCGACGAATGTTGACATTTTCTGGCTTCTTTTCATTTGATTATGATGATTTTTTACCCAAAAAACCAAAATTTTTCAAGCCAAAACCTATGGTGTTTTTGTGGTGAACGAAAATGTTAATGAAAAAAATATATCACATTTGAATGGGGGCGGTAATATATGCAAGAATTTGCATTTTTTTTTGCACTGACTTTTTCAGAAAAAACTTATGATCTTTTGATGTTGTTGTTGTTTATCCAAACGAACGGAACAACAAACAAACAAACATACACGACATATCATGATATGACAGTATGATGATTATGTAACACAGAAAAAAATCTGTCATAACATTTTGTCATGTTCAATTTGTTGTTGTTGTTGTTATGTGAAATGAGTTTTTCCATTATTAGTTTCTTGCTTGCTTGCTTTCGTTCCTTTTCCCTATTTTGTTTTTCAAAGAAAAAATCTTTAATTTTATCTTTTCTTTTTAATTATTTTCTTTTCTTACCCATTTTCCTATGTGATTATCATCAATTAGCATCGATCATTTATACGGCTGTCGATGGTGGAAAGGTAAGATTAATTATAGAAGAAAAAAAATGTATCTTTTTTTTTGTACAAAATCTTACCATTATTCTTTTGTTTTTGAATGAATCATTCGAATGAATGATAATAGGTTGCATTACCATGTAATATTATACCACCAACAATCGATGATCATGTTGTATTAATCCTGTGGTATAAAGATGATGAGGTAAGTTGTTGTTGTTTTCGGTTGTTGTTTTTGGTTGTTGATCAAGGATTCTTTCAATTCTTTTTCAAACAAACGACGACGACGATGACGAGAATTAATCCAATTTCTTGTTGTTTGCATTTAATGTCTTCTTTGTTGTTGTTGTTTGATTCTCATTATTTTCTTCTTGTTTTTCATTTTCGTTTTAATAAAATTCCATCATCAATTTCGGTGTCGAAATGGGCCAAAAATTCTACATTCATTCATTCCATTCGATTCTATTTCCACTAAAGTTCGAACCTATTTACACAATAGATGCTCGAAAAGGTATGATTATTTTCATCATCATCATAATAATCATCATTAATGACACAAAAAACAAATTTACCATCATTACCTTTAAATCCTTAAACAATAACAACATTTATTTCTTTCTTTCATCAAATTATTGCTTTTTTTATCTTTTTCTTTTCTTCACAAATATTGTCTTGTCATGTAACGAATTCCTGACGATTTTCTTTCAATTCTGTTTGGAATTCTTTGTTTTGTTTGCTCCAATTTCCTCAAATATATCGCTCATCTGGGGGATCATCATCATCGTTAAATTCCTTCATAATAATAATAATCAAACATTGTTAATCATAATCATCATCATCATTATAATAAAGATCCATTAGAAAAAGCAAGAATTATTGCATCACCAAATTTGGTTGGTAAGTTTTCGTTTTTTTTAACACATTTTTTTCCTTAAAAGAATAACCTGATTGTAAATGTTGTCGATTTGTTTTCCCCTGTTTTGTAGTTATTCCATTTTTTCAATCTGTAACAATGATAATTCCTTGAATTTAGTTTTTGCAATTCTAAGCATATTTTCTGTTTTTTGTTTTCACCCAAAGTTATTTTTATGACATTATTTTTTTAAAATCTTTCAAGGTATTTTTCGCGATTTACCTTTATCATCGTTTTTTTTCATAATAAAAATGTTTTTCTTTGTTTTGTTTCTTTGTTTTGTTTCTTTGTTTTGTTTCGTTTTGTTGTTTTTCTTGTATACAGATCGAGTTTATTTCAATCAACATAATCAGCCTGCCTTTTTACAAATTGATCCAGTTAAAACAAATGATGCTGGTGAATATCGTTGTCGGGTGGATTTTAAAAAAGCACGTACTGTTAATATAGTGATACAGCTTAAAGTGATTGGTAAGATTTTCATTTTTTTTGAATTTTATTTTACTTTTTTTTAAAAAATTTGATTTTGAATTTCCGAATGTTATTTTCTGAATAAACATGACAGCCATCTGGCGAAAATTCGTACTAATTTTTTTTTTTGAATTTTCATTTTTTTTTTTTTTTAAT